TGTACATGTATCATCATGTACCACAATGTACATGTACCTGTATACACGTGCAGGTAGCCAGGCACATGTATTACACAAACATGACGATTCAGATTTTAAAATAAAGTACATTATAATCAGTCTTCATTTTTGAACCATTTTGGTCACTTCTTCAATCTTTTTATGTATTTGTCAATTCCCATTTACTGTGAATCAATTGTCTCCATTCCAGATGGTTATCTACAACACTTCTCCACTGATCAAGAACACCACCACATTTGAAAGTACTCTTGTACTGGTAGGTGTCTTTGTATCTTATACATGTACATGGTTAAACATGTTGTATGTTAATGTGTCAGATACACGTACATGCCATAAGAAATGAACTTGAATTTCCTTTTTAAAAAGTTGTGTTGGTACAACTTAAAGTACATGTAAACTATACATGTACAGTATGCACATAGAAAGAGAATTCCACCTGTTGGAAGAAAATTCCACAGGTCTTAGTCATCATCCATTCATCTATAAAATGTTATCTTTAGTTTACATGCCCCATACTCTTAGGGTATTCCCCAGCCCTGAAAGTGAATCTGACCTCACCTCAACACATTTTGTGCATGTGTGCAATGTACACATACCGTTATATACATGTACCAGTACATGTACACCTGTACTGGTACATGTACATGTACATTACACAAACAGAAGAACTGAAACCATTTACATGTACATGTGTACATGCACTGTACATTAAATGTAGGTCTACAGGTACATGTATGTACATGACAACACCATCAATATCTGAACAATTACCCCCAGTCTCCAGAATACCGGTACATGTGCAGGTGTAAAAAAGTAAAACTAAGCCATCATATGACTGTACACAACATTATAGCCCAAATTTAATTATGTTGTCATAATCTCTTTATGATGTGCAATGCTGTACAAACTGGGGATTGCATTATTCATTATGCTTACAATACTGGTTGTTCCCGTACTCTGGAACTAAACTAGTTTTGTACATGTACAATGTACTGTACGTGTATAACTTCATTTCTATGTTGCTTACAAAACACATAACGTACGTTGTCTCAATATTTGTGTATTAAGAGTCTCTCAGGGCCAAACCATAATTTGCATCATGCAAGAAGAAATGCACTACATGTACCTGTACATGTAAGAGAAACTTTTAATTCAATTCAGTTCAGTCATGTGATACTGCAATTCAAGTCTGTTGTGAAGGAATAAAATATACGTACTGTACATGTACTTCAATGATTTCAGTGTATAACCAGTGTACATGAACACGTACATGTGCATGTACCGCACAGTGTGCACTGTACATGTGCATGGTGTACATTACATGTACATGTACATACTGTACATGTACGTGTACATGTACCAGTACATTTACTCACACTTCAAAAACATCTACATGTAAATTTATATTAGTCAGGAATGCATACCATGTACATGTACACTACACTGCAATTGAAAGTTAACACTGTGAATTAGGATGGCAAATTATGTGAAAAGAATTTTTTTTCACGTTCATACTCACATTTCACAGGGTATCAAAAATATTTCTCACTCATGGAAATATCTGTAAAAATCTTATCCCTATTTTTCTCCCACTTGTGGGAAAATATGTGAAACTCTCTTCCCACTTACATGTATATGTACACTGTGTCCCAAATTACATGTACCGGTACGGGAAAATCTGTGAAAATCTTTTCCCACTTCTCCCCACTTGTGGGAAAATCTGTGAAAATAGTTTCCCATGCACAGGTTAACTTTCAACTGCAACACAAATACAGGTACATGTACGTGTACACGGGACATACATGTACATGTACATGTATACCTGTACATGTATATGTACTGTACAAGCACGTCACACTGTTAATGTTAACCAAGAGGTATTATTTCATAACAAACCAGCCAAAACAATATTGCTCTGGGCCCAAAATCTAAACTTAACGCTACTTTACACTGTTACTGATAATGACTGTAAGGTACATGTACAATGTACATGTGGAATTACATGTTTTCCAGCTCAAAGTGATGAAAACTGCAGCAATAATGACCACACCATGGGAATATTTGAAGCACTCATATTCTGGATTTGTCATTATTGCTGAAAAAAGGGTTATTAAAAACTTTACTACAGAATTTTTTTTGCATAACGTCAAAAATGTAATGCAAAAAAAGATGCAATGGCACCCCTCTCAGAGTTGAAATTAACAGTGGTCCACTGGCCTGGGGCCACCAAAAAATTCATCAGGCCTCTGCATTTTCCCAAAACGATGGCCTGGCAGGACAGTGGTCATTTGAGAAACACTGCTACATTTTCAAAACTTTCACCACATTTTACAACTCATGTTTCAAATCACCAGTGCAGACCACACACATACGTACGTAGCTGCGACATTCTTTTCACAGTCGTGCGGCATGGCAGGAGCCTGCCCTGGTATGTTGGCTGGTATCGTTTTCTAACAATGCCAGTTTAATGTTATCTCCCACGGACACCAAGTCCGATCGTCAAGTACGAACAATATACGAGCAATATAACCCCAAATTAATCACAAAAATACATACAGAAAACAGATCAAGTTCTGGGAATTAATTTACAGAAATCTTCTGCTCCTAATTTTTTTTGCATGTACAGTGTATGTATGGTGAATTGTTGTAATGCTATTTTGACCAGGATGCACTGACTGGTTGCCGCGTTACCATCACACCTTCTTTGGCAGTGGCATGTCAGGAACCAGTGAAACCTTGCTTCTCTGCATTGAGCAATATTGCGTGCGTGTTTTCACCACTGTGATAGTGAAATGCAAAGGGAATTTGTGAAAAAAACAGAACTTTCTTTCCAAATGTGGCAAATGTACCGGTAAGCCAAGCAAACAAAAAATACAAGTTTTAAGATGTGATAAAATTGTTCAGAGGTGTTTTGTGAAAACAGGAAAGGGAGGATTTTTTTTTCGAATTTTAAATGTGTTTTTCCAACTTACCCATATAAATTTTACAGAGGTGCCAAAAATTTATTATCGGTCACTTAACCAGAAGCAGAACTAGTTTTTTTGTTTGGCCTTAAAGGAGATTTAAATCCAGCCAGGCTGGCCAATCAGCTGTTTTGGTAAAGAAGTTCCACTGATGCAAATGGGCATGTGTGGTGGGCCTGATTGATTTCATTACAAGTACTCAACCGAGGCCACCAAATTTTCACAAGGGCCAGAGCAGTGAACTTCCCCACTGGCCCTGCGGGCCACCAATAGACTGAAGTTAATTTCGACTTGCCGGGTTCAGACTTCAAATCCTGACACAATACATGTACATGTATGAAAAGATTACAATTAAATGTATCCCAGTTGACAAATTGAATTTAAAAGCATTTAAAGTTAACTTTTAAATCATCTGAATTACTTACTATTACTGGACTTGAGGTCTCGGTGAATGAGAGGAATTGGTGCATCTGAATGAAGGTAGTGCATACCTTCAGCAATCTGGTAGGCCCAATCAACGAGAACATCTGGGGGCAAGCCCAACTTTTTGCAGTTGTTACTAAGAACTCTGTTCAAAGCCCCACCCCTAGCATATTCCATAACCAGGCATATATTTGGTTCCACTAAGCATGCCCCTTTGAGTGTTATAATGTTTGGGTGTGACAACAAACTGAAGAGCTTTGCTTCTTGTCGCACATTATCCATGATTTCACTTATATCTTGGTCAGTGTCTGTCCGTGCAGCTTTCACAGCGACCTCCTCTGCCCCGCAAATGCCTCTGTAGACCTTCCCAAATCCGCCCACTCCTATCACCTCACTGAGGACAATCTCATCAAAGTTGATTTCTGTAATTCCAAAGTTCTTTTCCTTTTGTAGAAGGACATGAGGCTGGCTGACATAGTTACTGGGGAATATCCCCTCTTTGTCACGGACTTTTCCCGTCCACCATCCATCATCTCCAGACACTGATATCTCCTTGGAAATCACTTCTACAAGATCCCCACGGCGTAGGGTAAGCTCATCATCTGCTGTTGCCTCATAGTCATAAATGGCAGTGCACAGACTTGTCCCGTTTTCCTTGGATTCCCGTTGTTTGGAGGCTCCAGGTGACTCAGGGACACTCTGTAGAGGATCCATTGTGTCCAAGAAAGTCTCGTCTCCCACAGGGGACATTCGACGATGGGAACCACTAGGCTATGTTTAGCCTCTATGTGCTCTGCTGACAAAGGGGCAATCCTGAGAGGGGAATTACTTGGGGTGAACACAGCTGTGGTAGTCTTCATGTCACACAAATGTCTGATAAAAAAATAAAAGAAAACCACTAATACACTTCCATTTGTAAACTTACTGCAAAATGTGTTTGCACTTCTTTTAGAAAAAAAGTCCTCTATCAATAGAGTCTTATTTATTATACATGATGTGGTTTTAGTCATTTTTGCCATTTTGTAACCTCACCACAGTGCGATCATTACATTTCATAAACATGCTGAATGAACTGTTTACGCGTACTTTCCAGCCTTAACTCTTTCTCACTCGCTAATCTGTCATGCTTGGTGGCAAGTACATGTACAACAGTTCAGAATAATCACTTTCCCTACAAACTGCTACACACCAACCTATGTTCAGAGCTTCTGTGACCGAGCAGCCTCATTTTGGAGCAAAGTTCTTCCCCTTTATCTTAACCCTAAATATTCTCAAAGAGACTCAATTTAAAGAGAAAGATATCCCCTATTTGATCACAATCTACAGTTCTGAATCATGCATGCTATGCCATTTTGTGCAGGCACATTTTTGGTTTTAGGTTTATCCCAACAGTACATGCATGGGGTCCCCTCCCAAGCATTTATCAGCTTTTCAGAAAGCAAGGAATTTCTATTTTACTGCAGGGACGGGGGGGACTATTTTAAGCATGTTCAGTGAGTCTTTTGCATCGTGTCTGCAGATTCTGCACTGCACTGTACACTGTACAGTACATGTACATACATGTACATGAACATGTAGTATGTACATGTATGTACCGCTACTGCATTGGTGCATCTCCAGCATCAGTGATTCAGAATTCAAACATGTAAAAACTCTTTTGGCAAATGTGACAATTCCTTTTGTTTACATTATTTTACTGGGTGAAATCTGAGTTTGGCCCAGAAAGAAAATCATCAGTGTTGACTACATATTTGAGGAAAGCAGAACTTTTTATTCCTCTTCATGCTTCTCTCCAGAGATCAGTTACAAAATGGCAAATGTCACTCAAACTGAACTGTGGTTAATGTTCAAGTGATTTCCAAATTTCCATTCTGACTACTGTAAAATAGCAGACAATGAATTTTTTACAAACAAATCTCACAAAGAGGGCTTGGTTATATTAGAATGAATTTGAATTTAATTAATCATGTGAGTAAAAACTGTTGATGATCAAAAGTGGTACCTGATGGCTGGATACAGATTACAGAATTCTTGCCCATATTTCTCATATGATTAACAAAACAGCACTTGCCACAGTAAAAAGCAAAGGCTGCCAAGGCTGCACACAGGTTCCAGCCAAATTTTTGGTTGATTGATGCTTGTACAATCAGGCCTTGACCTTAGCACTTGACCAGCAGCGTACAAATTCATGTAAAAACTGCTGCAAGCTAGTAAAATGCTCTCTTTAACTTACCAGGTGGGCTGGTACAGAAATATGTATCTGTTTGAAACTGTCATTTGTCTTATTTAACCCTCCTTTTACTGTAACAATCAGAAAGTCAAAAATGCCTTCCACTTGATTTGCCACAGTACACATACACAAAGTGGTCATGATTTTGACTGAAAGGACAACCAAGAATGCATCTTTGCTTAAGAGGGTCTTAATCTTTGAAAATGAATAAAAGGAAGTACTTATTTATTATTCATTGTAACAGTTTTGAATCATACACTTTTCAAATTGAAACTTGACAGCATGACTCCACAGTAACAGCTGAAAAACTGTAAGTTGAAACATGCCAGCCAATGTTAGTATGCTAAACAATGTCCAGTGCGGTTAGTGAAAATTTGTGCAAGCTAGTGAAAAATACATGTAAGTTAACTTGTCTGGCATGCTAGTTTAAAAAAAACCTGAAGTTTGAGGCCTTTATATGAATATGTCAGTTATCATAATTACATATCGCATTGCGCTATCCGTCTATGCTGTTTGAAATCTCTGACTTCCACAAGGACTTAAGGAGAGAAAAGGTAATAGGTGGAATTATTTAAAAAATGATGCAATACGCCTTAAAGATCAACAGATGCCCAAAAATTGAGCAATCATCGACTGTATTACATCCGACACATACATGTGCACAAACAGGCAACAAAAACCAGAAAATGTTACCTCTATGTAGGCCTAAATTTTAAAGCTAACTGCAGTAAAAAGTCATGAGATGGCACATGTAAATGCATCCTGAAGACTTTTTCAGTAAAAGTAGCTACATGTAGATTTATGGACCCAAACATTGGTGGTGTTCTTCCCGATATGTTACTTTTTGTGCGACCATTGTTTTTGACCTTGATAATACCATAGGGGTACATGTACTTGTGTGAAGAATGAAAATGTGATTTGATTGAGGAATCTACATAATTTAATTGACTTTAAATCCATAGTAAAACTTTTCACCAAAAATATTTATTCAACCCATAAAACGGCATGGCGACATTCATAGAAAATCCTAATTTCAGACAAATATGACTAAATATCCTTACATGTAAATTGATTTTATTATTGGTTTTATAATAATTAATAATTTTTCAGATGTTTGTATGAAACAAAAATTTTTAAGGGCACGAGTCATTCTCGGCTGCAAATAACATGACTGGTCAACGTGGGATGAATTAGCTACAGGTGGTGATATTGATTGGCCAAACTAGGGCATTAATATTCACAATCTTAGTCAAAGCACAGTTCATGACAAAAACGTGTGTTGTTGAAAGGGATTCCCTGAATTTTTCGTTTCTGCCATGCTTTAAATTTCAATGTTTGTGATATCTTCATGCCAAATCAATTCCAAATGCAATACTCTGTGAGAATAGGATGGCTTGAATTGGAATATGTAATAAAATGGAAGCAGATTAACATTTTGCAAGTACACTTCTCCCATTGGGTTGTGCATAAAACGGATTGCTTGTTTGTCATCCAAACCCATAACTGTACTGCAAATGTCAAAGTTGCAGCATTGTGAAATTTCCATGAATCTAGGCCTCGTAAAAGTACGGATTGCCTATACTTCTTCCTGGCCTACCTCCACGCATGGCCATGGATGTAGAATCATGCTCCACGGTTTGATCATCCAGAGTACTTGTATGGTAGGAAAACATAGTCCTAGGCCTACTGCCATGACTGCATGGCCTCAGGCACAAATGACTTCACGCCAGTTTACCCAAACACAAGGTACAAACGTAACTGGTTAAGGCATGGCCCATGGAGGTGGTTGTCTTCATGTTTCGTGTAACATGATGTACCCTAGTCTACATGTACAGTAGTGCATGTACATGTACATACTACATGTACAGTACCGTACCCAATGTACATGTAGGCCTACAGTACATGTACATGTACAGTACATCTCATCATGCATGCAGTGCAGTGGTTGAATGTTCACATGTCAAACTGCACAGGCACGAAAATGGCTCAAATATTTCTCCGTTAAAAAAGACACACAGAATAACAGACATATCTGTACCTAGTTTAAAAGATGCCACTTACTTGAAACATGCTTTCGAGTCAGTTTTGATGTCGCTATTAAGATATAATATCGAAAACTTAGTCGTTGATTTCCGCCCCAGGTCCGACGACAGAAGCAGGGCCATGTCATCGATGCTCGCGTGAATATTTTACCTTCGTGGCGCACTTTGACCCATTTGGCAGCAGACGATCTTTTTTTGCGGTCACAAACTCAGATTGCTGATTGGATCATTTTGACAAGTTATGAATATGCAGATTTTAGAAAATTGTCGTCATAAGGGAGTACAAACAATTTACTTCGTTTTTGTTTGGGATTTTACGAACAACAAATTGCGATGATTGATCATTGCAAAATGAGATAAATTTATAAAATATTATTTAAGGGATTTGAATTTAGGGGTTGCTTTCTTATTTTGTTTTGACACGGCGTTCCCTTTCCAGCGAGGTTACAGACGTACAGACGGGTACCATTTTGTCATAGTTCCTAGACGTAATTGTACATGCACAGTACATATCTTCAGTAAATGTACATGTACAACTGTACATGTACACAGCAATGTACATGTACATATGTATGTCGATGAAAGGGGGAAGTACATGTATGTACAGTCTTCAGATCATGTTCATGTACTGTGTCATAAAATGGTTGGCTTCTGCACTGGTGATCAAGAAATGGAAATGGAGTGATCGTTGATAAATACTTGGTCCATTTTACGGCCAGGGTTCCGCCTTTTGTATTACTCAACATGGGTTCACACACGCTTGAAGTTTTACGCCAAGGCTTGTGGGGTTCATTAACGGGGGGATGGTATTTTGACCCACACCAGAATATTTTTTGCAACACACTCCACCTGTATTTATGGCTCTTCCTGTTGTGTTTTCCACTGGGTTTATACATGGTAAGTCACTGTAATTTATAAACTTAATCATGCCCTGTCACTCTACATTGATGAATGTGTCTGTATCATGTAATGATGTGGTTTTGTGTTCTGTCATGTCTGTGTAGGCCTACTTATTTTTATTTCGCTGCAAATCTCGAAGTTTACTGTGCCAGTATGTAGGCTTAAAAAAGTCGCAAACATTTTTTAAATGTTTGAGTTTGTTGAGGCCTAGGTATACCATGTAGGCCCTATAGGCCTACATGCTTTACTTGCCTACTAGGCCCAAAACACGTTAAAATTTTCACAGAACTGTCTTACAATGCTTACAAGGATTAAATGTATCTTACATCACACCGCACACTCCATGTTTGTGTTGCTGTATAGTCTAAGCTTTAATCCATGTTTTTATGACCATGACATGACCTACATCATACATGTACTTCAGTTAGTTCTAGACATGACTATGATTACATGTACCAGAAAACATTGTATAAAAATCAGAGAACTCAACCCCCAACTGCCAAAATGGTGTATTATTTTCCATATACATCCTTTTGGACTGATGTATGTATGTTACGTACTGTTACAAACCAGAGGTTGTCAAACACAAACACAGAAAACATGCACAAGAATTGGCCAATACATAAAATTATTTACATTATTTTAATTAACAAGATAAACCACATAAAACAAAACAGTGAGCTTGTATTAGTGTGGTTAGAAACGGCCATGCCCAGCAAAACCAAATGAATAAAGCGGTCATGCAAAAACTGACATTGAAGTAACATTTTACAGACACACAACTCGGCCAAGAAAAGGAAAACATTAATACAAGACATTAACTTTAACTTACTTGTATGAAAAATAAAGACTGCTTCACAGTTGGTGCAGAACGCTGAGCACAGCCATCAAGGCCGCACCCCATGAACAGGACCGCCACACCAGCACGGACCCCAGTCGCTACGAAAACCAACCACCACCAGCAGCCCACAGGTAGATCCTAGCAGCAGCAACGTAGCCTTCATCGAAACAGGGGTGCGGACCTCAAACTGTACTCACGCACGTTCACCATAACTGACACCGACCGAGGCCGAGCAGCCCGCTATAAGGCCTTAAATACAGAACGAACATTCCATGCAAACAAAAAGGTCCATGCAGCTTTGGTATTTAAGGAACAGCAACAACAGACAGGTACGAGTAGAGGCGTTATGTAACAGTACAGTCAGTAAGAACTAAAGAAGTCAAACAACTAAGCAAAACAGAGAAGCCCATAGAGGTGTCCTCTCATGGACATTACAAATTTTTCCCTGCAGTGACATATCAACCATCAGAAAGGGATAACATGTCCTAAAATGTCAAATTTAGCACTTTTAGTAGGAAAAAGATAAAAGTGTTTACTTACAAAATACCATTTTTACTAGGGTTTGTTCTTGTCTGCTACCTAATGATTTTTTTTTTTAATTTCGGAATAACAAAGTTACACGTACTTCAGAACTCAAAAGATGAATAACGTAAGTTATATGTACATGTATATCATCAGATGCAATGTTTTATTTGTTTTGTTTGTTTTTTATTTTGTTTTCTCTTTTTTCACTCAGTCTCAGAGATACATGTACCAGTATGCTTAGGCGCACCACGTATTGCCTGTAATCAAGAGATCTGTTAGTAGTCCATGTTCTGCAAATTGCTTTCAGATATGCGTCTCTTGGGACGTCTAGAGGAAAATCAGACAAGCCACAAGGATAGTGGTTGGGGTAGCATGAGTAAGCAGAGTTCTAATGCTCATGACATTCGAAAGATTCCTGTATCCATGAGCAAGGGCTGGGGTTACTCATGCTACGTTTGGGTTTTGAGCAGCCATTCCTAACTGAGGCCAACTCAGTCACCAGAGAAGAAAACTGGGCTTTTCATCATTCAAAAATTAATGTCTCAGTCACATGAACAGTGTACGTGTAACGTTTTCAGTATCCAACCGAGTTGTGTGAAACTCAAATTGAAGAAACGAAGATAAAGAAGGTTTGCAGAAACACAAGGTGTGGTTTCTGCACTTGTGAAAGACAAACCTAGTGAGTGTTATGCACCTAAAAGAGTTTGTGACCATACTACTTCAAGGACATTGTAATTACATGTATTACTGTGAAAGCTGCAGGAAGACAAAATACATTTATGTTATTCAATAACTTGTTTATTGAATTAAAAAAAATAACAAGAGGAGGAAACTTCAGTCAAGTGAGCCATTTTTCTTCCTAATGAAATCAAATATTTACCAATGAATTGAGTTGGTTGGCTTACTTGTCAGGTGTAATAACATGTATCAATTATGGAGAACAAAATTGTGAAAAAAAGAAATCCCCGCCATGTTTTTACATATTCATGTACAAAATTCTATGCATGGAAACTCAGACTTCATATTTTACACTGATTTGCCTGTATGTACAATGTACAATACATGTGAACACCTGTGAATAATACTAGGATGTGTGTATTTATACATGCTGTATAATTCCAGGTTTCCAGCTGGCAAGTTTTAAATAAAAGCCAAGGTTTGAGCCACAGTCAACATTTTTGGAGCCACTTCCTCTTTATGCAATGCCGAATACAATTTGTTTCTTGCGGGTTGCTTAGGATTATACTCCTAATATGTATTCAAATTCACTGTTGGGCAACAGTGGTAACTGACAGTTGGAATTGCACAACTTCCTTTCGTATTTTCTCTGTATAATACGGATGATTCATAGCAGTGCACCACCAAGAGTTTGCAACGCGTCGGCCAATCACAACATGCGAAATCTGTCGACCCCTTTCCAAACGTGTACTGGTTTAACAGGTTTCGTGCATCGTGATTGGCCAACGCATTGCAAACTCTTGGAGGCGCACTATTGTGAATCCCCATTTTGAAACATTCCTCATCAAAAGAAGTACATGTATATCTGTCATTTGAGTACCTATAGATATTTTACTACCAGTTGCAGACACAGTTGTAATAAAGAACGTGTGATATGCATGGTTGCATATATGTTTATGTACCTGAACTATAATGTGCATGTGTATACAGGTACATGTATTTGTACACAATAAAAATGTACAATGTACATGTACACGTGCAGCGTGTTAACTCCAGTTTCAAAGTCTACCTGCCAGTGCCACATTTATTTTTTTCACTGAATTGTGTCTGAGGATACAGGCTAGTTATAGTTAAGAGAAACAGAAGGTAATCACTTATCGAAATGCAGGAAGACGGATTTGCATTGTGTGAATAGTGTTTGTAACCAGAATCACAAAGAATTTATGAACAGTGAGATAATGAAGTGTGGATGCTCTCACATGTATGCCCGAATTTCTACGATAATCAGCACACAGGTCTTCATGACAAATTGTGCCAAATTGGTTTTTTAGAGATTCAAGTTTACATGTACATGTAGAAAATGTACAGAAAGATACTTTGAACTAACCAAAAGTGTGGAAATAATTCTCAAGAGAAGACCAATATGTGCAGGATGTTTACAGAATTATGATCCTGATTCATGATTTTCCTGGGAGCCTTAGAGATACATCATTATTTCACTTCACGGAGGGAGAAGTGTCTAGGTTATGAGATGCCCAAAGTCTCATCTCTTCAGTAGAATTTTTTCAATTGCCTGGCTCGCATACATACTCCATTAGTGAATAAAGTAATTCTTTTTACTTTATGTACAGTAGTTTGTTTCAGTTACACTCCCTGTGTCAAATTCATGCAGTGAAAATCACTTAGCTTGGGTATTTTAAAAAGAACCAGTTCGCCTCGGCTTCGTTTCGGACAGAGTTTGAAAATTACTCTACCACCCTTCATTCTACCACAAAAGAAATGTAACATAGTTTTTGTTTCTTTATTATTCCATGCACTGAGAATAATAAGAGCCTGGATGTCATTCAGTCATCAGGAACATGTTTCTCATAGACACGTAAGTTTGATTTTCAGAGTTAAGGTTATTTTGTGTTTGGATTCTACACAGGCATTTCCCCCTTTTCCTGCAATATGGGCCTCCTACAGCTTGTTAACAGCCTTGGTTTTCTCCTGCATCAAGTTCATCAGCTACCGCATGCACCTGACCTTTGACTCCGGGGAAGAGGCCACCCCAGGAGAAGAGACAGAAGAAAAGCCCAGTGAAGACAGCGGCAAAGGCGAGGAGGCAGGGGAGATTGAAGAGATCGGGTTTGGCACCAGTGGTCATCACAGGACAAAATTTGGGTGAGTAGCATGCTTGTGGGTTCTGTAAAAGAGCACTGGTACCATGTCACCAGGTGGCAGAGAGTGAGGCCTGCAGTAAGCTGACCCTTCACTGTGGCAAAGCATCACGGGTTTGGACACCGACGGTGTGCGCATGCACAAACAAGTGCTCACATTCTTGTTAAGTAGTTTTTGGGGACTGTGATGAAACATGGATGTTTCATGGAGGAGATCCAAAAAAGCTATGGGGACAAATTTGTGTCTCCACAACTTGGTGGCGACTTTCCTAACAAAAAATTTGAACATTTCTGTCAGCAAACAAACTGCACGGTCTTCATAGACACAAGGCATGCATACAGGAAACTAAACCTCATGCGTAACCTTGGTGATTAAGGGGCATTCCCTGAGTAGCAACTTATTCAATGTTGGACAAGCATGAACCACTTGATATGTTCACAAGCTGTTTCCACTTGAGAGTGCATGGAAATTACATGGTTAGTCATGTCAATATGCGCATTCTCAGAGTGGTGAAGTAAAAGTGGAATAAGCTGAGCTCGGGTGCTGCAATGTATCAAGTATCATGTTGGCTGTCTCGTGTCCTGCAGTCTTGCTCACATTTGCACCACTTCAGGGAGAAGTACTGCATGGCATCCATAATCACAGCGTAAAAGTAAAATAGTAATTCCAGGCAACTGCAGTTCCCTTCACCTTTGTGAATGATACGACATAAACACATCCATGTATTTGCACATTGTGTATGTACAAAATATGTATAGGAACTAGCCACTTACTAGTGGTTAGTTATAGCTGCATGTGAATATGGTTGATATAACTATAACTAGACTGAAAGCATAGAACTGTCTTTATTTTTGGCCCATTTCATGCCCATTTGCGAGCAAATTGAACAGGAGGAAAGTTGCCATTCATTTAGACTGAAAATGGAAGTTTCATTTTATTTTTATCTTTTGTCTTAGGGCCCATCCAAATAGTACGTACGCATGAAATGCCGACTTTTCAGACCCCCCTCTCCAGTCCTTCATTTTTAAGGAGCGTAATCGTGTGGTACCTAACCACTGTATGTACCTTCTTGGTTTCTGTCTTTCAGCATGGAAGACGATGCGATTGAGCTGGAAGAGCTGAACAGCAACCCCCAGCATGTAGCATCAACATCAGGGAGAGAGAGCTCGAGGGATTCCTTCCCTCCAGACAATGAAAAGGTACACCAAGGATCAGGAAACTCCTGACCTTGTAGGAGTACTTCATCCTAACCATCCCAGATCCTTTAAAAATTGGCAGGTGTCACCACTCCGATACTTGGCTATTCACAATTAGGAATGGCAACCCTGGATCCTATACATGTAGGATGCACCGACAATCAAAATAAATAACAAGATCAAACAGTCTTCCGGAATTCCAATATTCTGTATTCCAATATTTACAACACGAGCTCGATATGGTATTAGAAAGTGAACTTCTTACAGAATTATTTAATTACTTAGAGGTCTGTGATTAAGTCATAAAACCTTATTTATACTCGATTAGCCAATCAAGTGACTCTTGGATCATCACATCAATCATAAAAAAGAAAAGTTTCATCAGATATCCACTTTAAACTATTAAAATAGCAAAATTAATCGGTCCACCATATGTTGAAGTTTCTGTAGCCCCCTGAATCTGGCGTCTAATTAAACCACAGAAGATCAGCCCAAAGCTTGGTCAAGCAGAGCAAGTTCAGAGTCTATGCTCCTTAGTGGTACACAAGGGACTCTTCTCAGTCATCGGTAGAGTCAGTGGGACCAGTCTCAACATAAGGCCATCTACAATAAATATAACCCAAAACCTTAACAGTTTTAAAGAACTAGCGCAATCATGCTCCAATCTGTTTCCTTTCCAACCTCGATCTCCACAATTCCAAATTACTACAAATCTTATATCATCATCCTTATTTTCATAAATGTAAATTTCCGATCTTCTCAAAAATCATCAGCCTCGATCTCCAAGATCAGCTTAATAGTCTTACTACTACGATTACGACGAAACTTCATCATCTGCAGGCTTTTTACTTCGATGTATAAAAGCAAGATAATCATCAATATTACAACACTTATGGTAATTTGCCGAACAACTGTCTTGGGAGGTGAACTATTGTCACGAAGTCGTTAATGCCGACTGGGACGTCTATGTGGCTGGAATTAGGCCCTAGTTTGCCAAATTCTCACAGAAACAGATTTTTCCGTCCTTTTCCAAAGTGGTCAAACAGATCCACAACAAAGCTAAATCTGCTGGCTCAGATTTCTGACGCTTGGGAGTCAAAACCGGTCTTGCATCACACAGTCATTCTCCAAACCTCTGTCTTTCTTGAGCAAGTCAAAAATGACTTCTGACTCTCTATCTCTCTCTCACATAAGAAAACTCCACCATGCATCCAAAGATTCTAATTGTGTCCAATTGTACAATACGACCTATTCTTCATCGACTGGCGTGATTTGATTCACAATAATACGATGGGCATTCTGACAATTACCACGGCCTGAACAAAATACCGTTGCGTAAGACGGGAAGGCATTTTCCCACTTCGTGAAAACCTTCTGTGAATGGCAGAGTTACATGTATGTCTACGCAGGAATGATGAACAAATGATTGGCTAAGACTTTTGGACAATTCGAAAACCCTCAGGGTAGACTGATATATACTCAGAATAAAAACAATGAACCTCCAACACAGTAAAAACATAATCGGAAAAACACAGCATTCAATTCATGCACTAGTTGCACTGTAACAGCAGGACTTCGTGGAGGTGCCTTTTGGGAGGGGGGTAAGATTGAGTAATGTTGTGCCAAACCAAGGTTGCTTCGCACATTCAAGAATGTGGAATTGTTTTCCTGCATAGTGGAGGATTTTGATATATGCAGAAAGGTTTCTGGCAAGAGTGTCGAGGTAGACAGCATTTCATGTACATGTAGATGCAATGCTTTTTTTTACACGGCTATAAGTATATTCACCAGCAAGTTGGATCCATTTTAACCTAAAAGAAAAAAATCAGGGAGAATATACATGTATATTCTTGCATTTGTCTAGGTGCTTTTGTTTGAAACTGGTATTGGTAAGTGTACATGTCTACATATATATAACAGTTGACCACACATAGCTTGCTTTTCATGGGCCAAAGGTTGATATTAAATGGGGGGGGCTTGCACATGTACTTGTGCAGAAATTAGCACACAAACAATGTCAGTAGCTGTATACATGTACATGAACAAGACGTAAAATTTGGCTGGCAACCTGTTTCGTGTGCTTAGCTGAGTTCCCTGCTTAGGAGCTCTGTGAATTGGCCGTTGGAATTCACAAGGCAAAGAATTCCAAACTATTTGTTTATATTCATCTGATCGATAACAAGCCAACCCATCAAACAAAAGTCACTGTTGTGTGATGAAATAGGGGGCGTGGAGCGATAAGGATCTGCCAGGTACCATCCGCTTGGAGATCCACCCTCAGAAGGAGCCACCGACTACCAGCCACCTGGACAATTCCCTCAGTGAGGCCCTGGATGCCCTCAATAACACGAACAACCTGAAGCTGGATAGCATTGACGGCTCATCAAGACAGCCCGGTAAGGCACTTAGAAGGCCATACTTCATAATGGATTATATTCCCCGTGGGTACCACAAAGAATTGTTGGTTCCCCAGAAATGCACCCTTGTGTGGGTTTCTTTTTGGATTGTATACATTACAAATACAGGACAGCAAAGAAAAGGGGAAAAATCCACATACAAGTAGTGTAAAACTAGAGCTCCATATCTTATAAAATGTGTACTTACGGTTATTGCTTCTTATTTGACTCTTACGTGCCAGCAAACCCCAGCAAGCTCAATGGTCGAGTGGTAAAATGTCTAAACTAGTAAGTAGGAGATTGTAGCTTCAAGTCCCACCCAATCAAGCTTGTGAATTTTTTCACAAAGCCCTTAACATCTCTGAGCATCTACTGTTTATAAATGAATGTAAGCGAAGAGTTTAAAATACACCATGTGAAATGGTTGGAATTTTGCACTAAGAAATAATCAAGTGTGATTGACTGACAGATTTTGACATGAAAGAGATCAACCATTATGTGTAGATACGTCCATGTAAAGATACGTGTAATTGTAAGTATTAAGATGGTGCTTTTTCACTGTCCTAACTTAATTTATAGGATTATACTCTCAGTTTTGGAGATTCAGTGTTGGCTTGTAAAGAGTACCAAAGTTAGCTACATTTATGTTTCAATTCAGGTTCTCACAATAATGTCAGAATCTAACTTCTTGTGAAAATTTGTATTTGATTGTCATGTAACCTACAGTGGGCATCTGAACTTCATTGTCTGCATCTTTAGGTGGAACTGAAACAGTACCAGCAGCAGTGTTCACAAGTCATGGCTCGCCACATAGCAGAAAGAGAAGACAGGTGAGACCCCAGGATGCAGGTCAGTCGTCCAGTCGGAGGAGGAACCGTATGTCCATGGGAACCAACACAAGTCGGGGCATGTCATCCCCAAAGGGCCCCTCAAGCACAGAACTTGGTAGTGACGCAGACTTCAAGACAGAGAGGGGAGTCCTGGATTCGGTGCCGGCATCACTTTCAACTGTATCTATGCAAGAACCAAGCTCTGGGACCCCACAGGGAAAGTTGACCAAACGGGACCTGGAGAGTTGCCCACACCTCGGCCTGTCCAGCATCACCCCAAGGGCTGACTCCGACTCATTGCTCGCCATGCTCACTAAAGAGAGAACTCCCGAACAGGAGACGGAAGTGACTGAGGAAGCTCGCAGGAGGACTAAGAGCAGTGGCAGCGGGGAGAGAACCCGTAGTCGGCACTTGACCGAGAACCTGACGACAACAACCAGACCTACCAGGTTCAGTTTCCCGGACAGCTCAGCGAGGCAATCCCTGACCCCACCTAGCAGACGAAGGACTGCTTCCAGTAACAGGAACATGTCTGGGAAGAAAGGAAGGCACCTGAGTGACCGGCAGAAAGAGCTTGCTTCACCCATTGAGGAGAATAATAATGAGCTGAAGCCCTCTCCAGAAATGCCAGACAAGATTAAAAAGAAGCGAACCCAAAGCCCACCCAGGCACGATAGTTCCCTGTCTACCAACAATTATGCAAACTCTTCCATGGATGGAGCAGCCCCGGCCCTCGCACACACATCTGCACCCTCGGAGACAAATTGTAGCAACCCATGCTCAAAGAATGTGTCCGACAGTGTGTCTGAAGATTCCTTGGATCTTGTTGTGAAGAACGTTCTGGGGTCGGGTGTGGAAATTGATGAAAACTGTGACTCCAGCCAAACGATTACCTCATCAAAAAGACCAGGGCAGGGTGCCATGACCTCCAGCTCTGATGATGATAGTACAGTAGTATCAGAACACTCAGCTTTCTTAGGATCGTCTGGAAATGCTCCCAGTTCCAGGAGTACATCTAGTTCCACTGGAATCCAGTGGTTATTCAGCACAGATGGGGATGGTCCATCAGACAAAGGTATGGCAGTGTCAAATGAAGTACACTTGTGTTCAACAATCTTGCAGATTTCAGCATTTGTATACTTGTAGTTTTTCCCAAGAGAAATTTAATGTCATCCTCACACCCACCGTCCCTTAACACCTCATGTGTGCTTCAGACAAGAATGTTTCTCGAAATGAACAAAGAATTCATTTTTATGTCTAACAATTGTTTTCTCAGAAGTTGGTGCTTTATCTGTACACGTTAGATGTCCATTTACATGTACACTGTACGTGAAACATTTTCTCATTGGAATGACTGGAATTCCTACAGGGGGCGAGCCCTCTTCCACCAGCAAAGCAACAGAACGAGAACCTTCCCCACAAAGCCGAGATCGAGCCAAAGAAGGCGCTATACCAAAGAGGAAGTCCCGCCTGAGTAGCAGTACTAGCCAAAGTGAGTCTTTAGCATCGATACAGAACGCAACCGCACGTGAAAGACCCAAAGTGTATTATTTGAGTGTAGCATGGGCTATGGGGCGCACTCACAGTACTTGATGGACCAAGTTGCTGGGAAAAGCAAAATTAAGTTGGATTAAAAGAAAGATATTTATAAACACAAGTGTGTTCATATTCTGTGGATAGAAAGAGTAATTATGCAGTATGCCCGAATCACTTGTCGAGAAACAAGACCAGGTTGGAATTATCAATCACAATTTCCTCAGTGAACTGTGTACTGATAACTACAGTGTACCACCAGGTGTTATCACTCAACTTGGAACAAGGCTTATGTTTGACCAAGATCAGCCTAAAGAACACAGCAGAAAGTAACAATCTGTTTATCAAGGAAAAGAGTTTTACCTTTTGCTGTAGAGTACTGAAGTATGACATTTTGAACCAGAACGTGCAGTGCAAACAAATAGAGTACACGCGCGTGTTGGTTCACGTGCTGGTTCTTGGCGCCATGCCTTTTACACACGTAATTGTGCACGTGTCGTATTCACTTCAGCACTCTAGACTGTCTTAAGCTGATCATTGTTGTCAAGCAGAATACATGTAAGTTGGTGTCATCGAGTAGATAAGTCCTCATTCCAGGTATGTGCACTACATCTTTTAACACAGGTTCTGTATTGAACTACAAAAATGCTGTTAAGTGAATTTATGCAGTAGATAAGTCCTCATTCCAGGTATGTGCACTACATCTTTTAACACAGGTTCTGTATTGAACTACAAAAATGCTGTTAAGTGAATTAATGCAACTTAAGTTTGCTATGCATTCCTAATATCCACACTTTGTCCTGTACAGGTGATGAAGAGATCAAAGCAGACCCCGACCAAGGCCAAGAGCGGGCAGGGGCCAACAGCAGCAGTAACAGGCTGATAGGCAGGATGATGAAGCGTGTCTTGAGGGAGGAGTCCCTTCGATTTCAGCTGGAGGATGCACGAGGGTCACGTAAGCTTCCTTTGTCTTGTGTTCTTAGCTGACATGTTTTATGGCGTAGAATGTAATTTTGCATTTGATTTTGCCTTTTGTCAGTATAAGTTATTAATCCAAGCACTACATGCTTAGTGCTTTCCAAAAAAACTTGTCAGAACAGAGCAAAAACTGACGAGGTTATTCATGTTGGACTCAAAGCTATGACCTGCTGCTTGCTAGTGTAGATGTTTTAATCACCCAACCTTCAAACTGTTCAGAGTCACCGGGCCAGAAAGTACAAGCTCTCCGAAACTACTTTTCACACAGTTATCAAAATGTGTAAATTACATTAGTTGGTAAAGGGCAAATCCAACTATTGGAATGACTTGTGACTAAGGTTGCATCCGAATCTCTTGTCTAGAGCTAGGTCTAGGTCTTCGCTCCATTGGAAATGCGTGGAGACACGTAGACAGTAGACCTAGCCGTAGCTCTGGAAGCCCATTTGGGACATGGCCTTAGACTCATGTTCAAGTGTATGGAGTCCCTGATGCAGCATTGTGAACTGAGGTCATGGTGAATAACAAGGATAAGCACTTGAACTTGGCATATTTAACCCAGCCTTTCAGAATCCAACTTTCATTCTGTGTTCGTTAATCAGACCGGAAGGCAAAACTGCGACATCCATGCACATGTATGTGCAATTTAAAGTTTCCCCAAATTAAGCTCTTCCTGGTTTAATGTGCCAGCTCAGAAAGTGCTGATAATGTGGGACGGGGCAAGAATGGAAAGTGTCATTTTCCTCCATTTGGCCAACTGGTGCTGCATACACGCAGAGCCACTTGGGTGTAATGTGCAAGCTGAGTTTATTGAAGTCAGGTTGATGGAGGTTAGTAATAGGGAGACAGTCCATCAACATGTCAGACCAGTGTTCATCCATGTACGTCCCAGCAGTGTTTGTGGCTCACTATTTCTCCGTTGTTTGGCATTGTTATAAAGCCTGTCACTGCTGTGTTCTGCCTATTCGTTCTATTATTTTGTGTATGATTATGGAGCGGTATGCCAATCAACATGTCAAAATTGCTGTGTAAGTTGTTGCATAGGGTAATGCCAGAGGGACATTTCCATGAAAGCACATTACAGATATCATGTTAGTACAGTATTTTAGGTAGTGTGCTGGAATTTGTTGTTAGTTGACTTCTTTTAAGTCAAACTAATCAACAAAAATTCATCGATTTTGCTGTATATATGGACATACAATCTAGCGTAAGTTAAGCCTTAAGTGCATGTAAATTTCCTTTGTCCAAATGGTGAAAACTAAAAAATACCGTTCATTAAAACATTAAGACAAAGTAAACAGTAATTGGAAATAAGTCTGTTACCCTGCCTTGTTGCAACACAAACAGTCAATCCATCCATAAGGAGAGCCAGGCGGCAGGCAAGATACCTGAGCTCAACCAGTGAGTCGAGACAGCGACATCAGAGCGATAGGGGCGAGGGTACATCCACAAGCAGTCTCCGGCATAGACGAGGTAACTGAGCCAACCAAAAAAGACAAGAACGGGTCTGGTACTCAGTGATGCCAACTGTTGTGGATTCACCTTACCTAGTTTTTTCCCAATGGAATATTTTTGCATTGTACCACTTTTGCATCGCATGGGCACACCAAACTCATGTGAACCTTCCTTCTGATTTTAAATTGGTCACCAGCTTGTGGAAACCTGTTCATTTTGAATCCACATTAACCCTAAGTGTCATCAATCCTTCAAAATCCTCCGGGTGGTTTTGGAGGATTTTTGAGGATTGAGGCTGCATGGCAAAATTGCATTGCTGATTGCGAAGGATGCATTGTCTCAAGGTTGCGGGTCAGACCTTTTGTTGTTGCTGTTCAGGCATGCATAAATTCAAACCCTCATGATATGTGAAATCCTACATACTGCTCCAGGATTCCATTTACATTGTCTCAACATAATGATGGGAATTAGCCTGAGAATTTTGAAGGATTGAGGCAGTTGGCACCCCTCCACAGAACATGTTCAAGAAATATCAGAGGGTTTCTGAGGACTGAGGCTATATCCAATTTTTTTCATGGAAGCAGTTGGAGAATTTTGAACCATTGAGAGTATATCCTAGCCAAAGGGGCTTAGGCAGTTAGGATTAATGAACGTTGAATGTGGGTTAAATGTAAGCATAGCCCTTTACTCATAAAAGCTTCCAGCTTCTTCATTGGAAAGGGGGTTGATTGTTTAATAAGTGACTCATTTGTCAAGCTGAGCTCATCCACTAGTCATTGTCTAACTGCTAAAACTTGCAGCTTGCTTTGCTGATGTTTGGAATGGTAGCTCTTTGCATCCAAACTTCGGGTGATTGTTTGCTTTCGTTTTTCTTGCAATTGTGTACGTACCTGACGTAGATTGTTTGATGTTAATTTTTCATAGCATTTCATGTCTTGATGTGGAATGAGCCTTCAATTGTTTGTTACCGATATAAACCAGGTATATGTATTCGAAAGCTCAAATTCCTGACATAATTAAGTACACTTAGCATATACCTGCCTGTATGAAATTGTTGAATTTAAAAAAATGAGTGATTTGGTTCATGCATAGTTGGTTTTTTTATTATGATATAAAAATTAATCATATTTATTTTAAGCAAATTTTAAAAGTTTAATACAGGAGTTTTGTTGTTTTTAATTGGAGCCAAGTTGGCATATCAGTAATTGTCGACAGTGTATTCCAAATTAACCAAATATAACTGGATATGAACTTCTTTTTCTTTTATTTCTTTTGTTACAAAATCAGTCAAATCATAATTTAAGGTATTTAATCGAGCCACTTAATAAAATGATTGATAGGCAATTGATAACTGCCTTTAACTTTTACTACACAGATATTTTTTGAGTCCCCGTAAAATACATATAGCACCTACATGTACTTTTTTTCAACTGGCTTTACGTTTTGTCAAAAGTAGAGTCTAGTTTACAAGACATTGTTAACCAGGAGCTACATGTAATAATAATAATAATTTTTCGCTTACTGGTCCTTCCTGGCTAACAACTAACTCACAAATGGAAGACATTCGGGAAATTCAAAAGAGAAAAATAACTGTATTTTTGTACCAAAAGGACAAAACACCAAATCACTTACGTCCTTTTCCTTTATTGTTGAAAAGCAAACAACTACAAAGTCCTAGCTGATGGTCTTTGTTGCAGTTGTCCATGTCATTGCAGACTTGTGCTTCCCGATTCAATGAAGATGAGACCCTGTGTGGAAAAGGGAAAATAAAAATTGTTGCTCTCCACTAGCCTTTGACAGGGCTAGCTGTCACTAGGCCAGCTCTGTTTAAAAGGAATGTGCAACAGATCTCTCATGGACTACTTTTTACCATCTTCCCGAAGGCGAAATTCTTCTCAAGCCCATGTAGATGAAATTGGCCTTGCCTGACAGCTGGAGAATGTGATTATCTACAGCCTTAAAGCTGGTTCATACTTAGCGTGAAAGCATGAACTGGCCTTAAGTTTGAAGCATATCTCTCACCTCTTTGCACTACAGAGGCCAGGCAGACTACCCACCCGCCTTCCTCCCCACACCTAGCAGCACTGGTATCCGTGGCCAGGCGCGAAGGCCGGTACATGGCCTCGGCCCACGACGATTCGTCCCCAGGAGCTGTCCACTGCTTCCAGGATGAGCATGGTAAGATGTGATGCCTGGAAAGGGCATCCATGCTCAGATTGCTGGTGCATGTACGTGTATGCAGGATGTACACTCAACTAGTACGTTGTCAACCGTGTTGCCAAAATACATGCATAATTCAAGTTTCAGATTATACACACAATTTGAGCGTGAGTTCCTAACATCTCGGTAATTTCTTTCAAATTGTGAGTGTTATATCAATCGCTAGAAACATTATACCTCATTCACTGTTTACGAACCAATACATGTCACCAAGGAAGTTGAAATACACGTCTGACAAATTTTTATAGCATGAATTTCAGGCATAGCAGTATGGAGGTCTCTGGCTCTTTTACAGTTTGACCATTATGGAACATAATTATTTTACCTGAAGTGGCATTGTTAAAAATCCTAACCGTAATGGATCCTCACTGCAGGTAACTGGATGACATACACATTTGACGAGAACAGTACCGGCATAGCCCAGAGGTTGGATACAGAGCCCATCCCTGACACATCACCATCGGATATTGAGAAGCCATCCATTGATTGGTAAGTGGTCTCATCCCAAACCTTCTGGAGTGATAAGATGTTATGGATTGATAAGACGTTCAGTGTTCAGACTGCAAAGTCAGCTTAATATCCAAAACTCTCACTGTAGGATGGGGGGGGGTGTAATTTTGAAGTAGGCTGCATCATGTGCCCGTGGAAGCCACTCTGTAATGGCCTGAACCGTTCACCCTTAGGCGTCATCCCCAAATTGACTAAGCGGTCTTCCACGTATTGTCCATGTTTTTTCTGATCAGTCTGGCATTGCTAAGTTAGAGGGAAATCAGGTAAGCGACAGAGGTGTGCGCTGCAGCGTGAGGGGTTCAATGAGGCGGGCGGTCGTGTGCCCTTTTGTCATCGTGACAACAAGTATGAATAAGCATGATTTCTCTGGACCTCATGAATAACGACAGTTGTTCTGCGGCAAAGACATTCTCCCATTCCAGTATCAACACTTATTAAAGATAATGGGATCGTTAAATTTTTTGCTGAACTTCGGGTTGGGACATGTACATGCATGTACATACGTACATGTACGTGTATTGTGCATGTGTAATGGTCAACGCACATTGAGACAGATTGGGAGCTCACTACGAACTGATCTTTTACCAAACTGTGGCATTCGATATATTCGAAGGACCCTGGTATCAAGTCGGCATTCTTTTCCAGGACAGCGATCATGTCCAAGTTGCAATTTTGAATTTTCCATCGGTCTTTTTTTTCCGAATGGATAACAGCAACTTATATGAAATCTGTGAACAACTTAAAGCTCTGGCAAAATTCTATCACAACATGTAAATACTATAATTTTGACCAAACGAAAGGAAAGTTTATTATGTCCCTGTGTACATCAACTTTTATTACACACTGGAGCACTGCTATACTCCGCCTGGCAAAATCCTTTTTTTTCCCCTCCGGAGTTGCCTTCAATCGAACACGAGTCCAAGTACGATCAGCATCCAATGCAAATTTTTTTGCACATTCGTTTATGACATTATTGGCCTTATGTGGAACAGAAGGACTTGAATACTGGAGATTGGCATACATAATGTCGGTTTGAATATTCATACACACAGTTGGATGTAGTGAGAATTTAGTACTGTTCTGCGGCTGAAATGCCGTACCTTGCATGTTCTTGGTTGGTTATTAGTGAATTGTCACCACGTGCATTTCACTCAATCATGTGGTCCGGGCCATCGCAAATTTACTGTACATACCTGCTATATGCACACTGTGTACTCGCACATCTGACGAGTGCAGATGCAGCATATATTATGTACATGTATTGAAACTTGTTTTCCATTTTTCGTTGTGTTCCTTTTATATCAAGTTTTCTTAAGTACATTCCGTTTGCTGTCAATGCCATGCCATTTCAAAGCCGAACATCCAAACTGACCAGTGCATGTGGTTCAGTTTGGTTCAGTTTGAAAGTGTCATGCTCTATGATTTTGGGCTTGATCTGGCGGTTTGGTACTGCAGCAGTCAACTCACTGCTGGATGAATCGTTGGTTGACAATTCTCAGCGTTGCATTGTTGAAGATGAAACACAAAGTTGAGGGTAAATTCGTCAACCACAATTACCATGCAAAGCAAAGGAAAAGAATGTCTTTCTTAAGGGCCATAACTAGTCTACAGATCGACCTAATCTGTGAACTGTCTTGGCTGGCAGGAACATGGTGTTTTGTAAGACGAATTAAATGACCTGCGCTCTGAGTGTTAAAAGTGAACAGCGTTTTTCTCGATTTTTCTCAGAGCAATGTACTCAAAAGCTGAAACTAGTCCTTTGTATGATACACAAAGAAAGTCACAAAACCCCCCAAATTGGTCAATTTTGGCAAATTGCAGTACATGCAAATCCGGTATAGTACCTAAACGTATGCAGGGCAGCCGGCTGACTTCAGAAAAAATCAAAACCCTTGTGGTTTTCAAGTTGGCGGCCCATCAACATTTTGTCTTGTTCTAATTGGAAGTCGATTGGTCAGTCAGCGGAAACTTGGCCGCGTGCTAATTCAAAGGGATTAGCCCTGCCAAAGATTGCCGGTCGATACGTGGAAGATTGGACTATTCCTGAGGTTTGTAATTTGCATAAAGCTTGCATTTTGTGTTCCATTCGCGGATCTGCCGGGTTGCTGACGGCTCTTTTGTTTGGTAGGGATTAGTGGGCTCTCTGTGATTCCGCGAAATGTCCACGTCCTGGAACACATGGGGCAATTTGGCAATGACGCCTTAGGCCGTTTTGATTATGCCAGCCGTAGCAAAGTGATTCTGTCATAGCCATAGTTGATGATATTTGAAGGAGAGGCTTCCAGCATCTCCACTTTGGGCTTCGTCTCAGAAATTATTACCTGCTAGTGGTATTCAAATTAAACAGAAATATTTCAGTATTTGTTTTGGTGGTTTGTATAGGTCAGTGTTTTGTTGGTAGTATGTGATGACATACTGTTGAAGCAATAATATCAAAGTCAGGGGGCTAAAATCCAAGCAAAACTGGAGAGGGAGATGAAGTTGATAATTGGACAACAGCCTAGATATCTTCTTATATTTTCACACACCCCCCAAGGCCAGACAGTTCCAGCTGCCACTCGGACTCCACGGTCATCACCATGCCCAAGTCCTCAGGGGCCACCCTGGACAGTGGCGGGGCGCACTCCTCCCTGGAGGGTCACCTGCCCATCTCCATCCTTTTCAACCAGCCGTCCTCAGCAGGCGGTGGGGGCCGGAGGCCGTCCTGGGATCTGTCCCGCCATCTGCTGAGCGACCTGGGCCTGCATGGCCTGATGGAGGACATCCGACGGCAGAACAGCGAGCAGAGCACACGGGATGAGGCCCACAGCCTGGCCAGCCTGGAGCACAGTGGCCGGCATCACCGGCGGAGCCGCAGGCACGAGCGGGCAAGGGTCAAGCACAACTACCGCTTCTGGCTGCTGCCCCGACGATCAGTGCGGGTCACCTTTGACCGGTTGGCGTTCCTGGCGCTATTTGACAGGTACGGGTCCCAGCAAGTACCATAAGAATTTTAGATTGTATTTATTTTGATTTTATTTCTTATTTGGCCCTTGGAAACCCTTCATCTGATTTATTGTTTTTCAAAAGTGCTCAGGTAAAATTCAGGATTAGAAATGTAAAATTAAAAATTCACAAAGATGAAATGATAAAATTCACAATTACTATTACAGAATATTAAAGAAACTAGCACCAAGTGGTGTCTCCTCCTATAATTGGTCAAATAAAAAGGAAGTTCAGAAGGACGGTCGAAGTCACAATTTCACAAAGTTGCCGAGAGGGAACACCAGCTATGCAACAACACGAGAGGAATACCACATAAAAATGAAAGATTACACGTAGAGTTAAACTTACACAAAATCTCGTGCCATCCTCCCCAGTAAAACATTGTCTATAATAAAGAAAGAATAACAATAATGAAATTTATTTAGAAAAGAAAAAAACCATGACATCTGCAAATCGAATCAGATTTCTGATTTGAGCTTTCACGATTTGATATCATGGAGAAAGCTTCTGAGATGTGTCTACCGCAGGAAAAGTTGAGACTTAAATAAATGGACTATGAGGAGGATCCCTTGACAGATTTCTGACCGTCAGTCTTAGAGACTTTGGTATAGGATCACTACTTCCTTTTTTTTCTCTCTCAGGAATCGTACATTGTTAGAGAGCATAATAGCCATCCTCTTGTCTGTCCTGGTCTCCATCCTGGGTTTTGCCGTGCTCAGCCAGGGTTACCTCTTTGATTTCTGGGTCTTCTGGTTCTGCTTTGTCCTAGCCAGCTGTCAGTACTCCCTCCTCAAGGTAAAAGAAAAAGAGTCAAGAAGTGTCTTTTTCTAAGGATTGACAACCCCTTTTTTCTTGGTTTAAAAAATTAGTTTTGGGAAAAGAAGGGTATAACTAGCCGGATACAGTGCATGGCATTTTGAACATGACTGGATTTGAACTGGTACGCAATCAGACGTGGTATCGCATTCTCAACGGAGCAACTCCACGTCATGTTTTTGGTTTTTTAATCACAACCGTTACAGAGTGTTATTCAAATATATCGTTGCTGTGCTGTGAAACCAAAACTGATGGGATCATAGAGGTGTATTCATGCAAGCCATTTGCGTTCACAGGAAAATACTCCTCAGAATATTAACCCCTAGTGTTTTTACAAAAAATATATATTATTGGAATCATTCTGTGTCGTGTTTCTTCACAGAGCGTTCAACCCGATGCAGCTTCGCCCATGCATGTAAGTGTCACTTTCTCCCTCAGTTTGTCTATTTTTGAGCAAAATAACATTCTGTTCACTAAAGAATGATGATTTCCTGTGTAAACTTGAGACTTGTACTTCGACATGTCATGATTTCATTGTCTGCTGGTTGTCAAATTGATGGGTTGTTTAGAAAGCTGTTCACACATTAAGGAACAAAAGAAGGTGGAATGAATGTATTCAGTGAATTTCAAAGGTACCGCAGTGGTTAATAGGGAGGGAAATTTTTTCACCTTCGTAGGAGCGTGTCCTCGGGCATTTGTCTTAGAATTTTCTGAATGTTTTAAGATCCGCCGTAGTGCAAGAGCAGTGTGGTGCCAAGTCTAACATTTGTGAGGCGTGAAGTCCCTCACAGACTAACTACAGGGTTCTAGTTTCCTCTGTTCCCCTTCAAACCTCCTTGTAGATTTTGGAAGGTTTAGGGACGAGGTTGTGACTGAAATTCTGTGGAAATTCAAAAGAACTCACCTGGAGACGAAAGGCAAATTGGAATTACAAGGCTGCAGCTTTAAGTGACACACAACTCTATGAGAAGTGATTCCAGCCGCAGCCATAGACTCGGGGCATAATTTCAGGCTGGAGCCAAGTACGGTAACCTCGGACACGGTCCGACTCTCCCATTTACATGTATTTTCACATCCTCCACAGGGTCACAACCAGATCATAGCCTACAGCCGCCCCATGTACTTCTGCATCTGCTGCGGTCTGATCCTCCTGCTAGACTATTGCGGCAGCCAGCCCGCTCTATGTCAGCCTCCCCCTAGCCTCTACGGGCTGTCTATAGGGGGGCCAGACCTGTACAGGCTGGGCAGGGATATGTTAATAGGTATGCCTCTGGAAAGCACCTTGGGTTGTTTGATTTGTGGGAGTACGGATGTTGCTGGACTTGTTTTGTGACAGTGTAAGCCTGTCTGATAATCCATGAGCAAATGCACGTGGAGATCTATTTTCACAGTTGAGAAATTAGTCTGATGTTTTTGTAAAATTTTGCAATTTTTGAGACAGGCACAGAACCTCATGAAATTCAAACTGCTTCATATTCTATGGAGGTATGCTTCATATTCATATCTTTTCTTTGTTCCTCTGTTCACTTTTACTGTGCTTCCATCACGGTTTCAATTCCATAAAAAAAATGGGTTTGCAGTCACCGTTACATCTGTAATCTTTTCTACATTTATCTGTCGTGGTTATCCTAAAGTGAGTCGAAAACCATTCAACTAGTTGTTGAAACTGGCTCAATCAAAATTGGCTTGCAAGTCGGCCAGACTGTGGAAGGCTGTCTTTATGAGTAAAGATATAAATATTTTCTCAGACTCACCAAATGATGTGAGCGCTGGAAGCTTCAGGCTTTTCCTGTTGTACTACTACTCGCATATTAGAGTTGTCCTCTTTCTTCCTATTCTTGCAGTGTTTGTGTTATGTTTTCCGTTGATCTTCCTTCTTGGGCTCCTACCACAGTGCAATACCTTTGCTACATACCTCCTAGAGGTCATTGATGTTCATATATTTGGTGGAAATGGTAAGTAGCTCCTTATTACATCGATCTATACATTCATCTCATATACCAACCAAATTACAGTTTTCTTCTTTTTAGAATAAAATTTTGGAGGTCAAACAAATATGGTTACGAGTTGTTCCTCTGAAGTGATTTTTGGGGGGAGGAATTTGCTGAATTTTAACAGTTTCTCTGTGAATGCATTTAAATGTAAACTGTAGATTTGTCATCATGGGTTGTTTTCCCAGACGTACACATCAGAAAGGGTATCGTGTGATTATTGTTATCAATATGGCAGTTCTCTATCACCTGCAGTGAGGTTTGGCATCTTGATATCTAATGTACCATTTCTTTCCGTTTTACTCAAATATGAATTTATTTGGAGAGCAAAGACTGCTCCTGTTAAAGATCTTCGGCATTATCCTGATCATGATTTTGGCTGGACATTCCTCAGACATCCATTTCTTTGGATTCACTGTTTCTCTTTGTCTTTGGTTTCCATAGCAACCACCGGTCTTGCTGCAGCTGTCTATTCCTTTTGTCGGAGCGTCATTACAGTGTTAATACTTTTTGGTTTTGCTGTGGGTGCTCTGAAGGTAATAAGCGTTTCATTTTCAGTTATTTTGGTTTTTGAGTGGAAGGGTTGTTCGTCCATCCCTCCCAGATCCTTTGGAATCCAGCAGAATCATTGGGAAGATATTCAAACATTTCTACATCACTGCTGTGTTAAAAATAGCCCCGAGTCACATGTGACATTTAAATCTGCAAAGCTCCCGTCGAGTTTTGGTTTACCGAAATGCTAGACCATAAATGCTGATCACAAACCTGCTGTCTGATCTGCTGAAATTGTTGGATACCTACGTACACCGACTTCCTGGTGAATGCTAGATTTGATTAGATTTTTTTATGTCGCCATTTCAGGACAGTGCAGCATCCCAACACCTGCTGTTCTCTGTGTTCTGCGGCCTCCTAGTAGCAGTCAGCTACCACCTCAGCCGAAGTGCCTCGGATCCAAGTGTCTTGTGGTGAGAAACTGACTTCAAAGGTCCATTGTAGCACCTGTTTAAAAAAAAGAGACCGGTAGCATTGTGTGACCAAATGAATACAGTCATGTATCCTGGAGAGGGAAAGAGAGATAGCACTTTGAAGCTTTGAGAAATATTCGCAAATCATTGTCCAGCACTCCCACATTTTTACAGGCCCGATAAAATAAAACCTGGGTTTTCAGAATCGTCTTGTCTCTGAAATCTTTCTGGTAATTTTTGAATATATGTGTGATTTTTCCTACTTTTCTGTGTTGGCTTTCAAACAAGTCGTATGTTTTTTCCCTAAAAACAAGGTCAATGGTCAAGAAATTTGTTGTGTCTGAACCTCAAGCCACACCGGAGGGTTCACAGGATGAAATCAGAGATCCTCTTCCAGGCAAACTCCAGAAATCGGTGGTAAGAAATGTTTTCTGTCAGTGTCCATCATCCTGTTCATTCCATTCTTGTCAAGAACAAGATCAGCACCTTTTTCTGTCAAGATGTACTTTTGCGTTGGAGAGGTATAAAATTTAGTTACGGGTTTTGCCCTTGAACACTGTACACTCGGTGCTTGTCCAAGAGCTTGTGATAAAATTCATAACCTTACTTAGGTGGGACTTGAACCCACAACCTCCTGCTTACTAGTGCAAATGCCTTAACCACTCAACCACTGATTTTGCCCAGGTTGGCTGGCTGGTCCGAGTCAGATGTGCAGTGTTTATAAAGATAAATATACATTGGGCAACGGCAAAACCCATAGTTCTAATTAACATCTCCCTGACACAAAAGTACACCTTGAAATAGTTTGCTGTACCTGCAGCTACATTGCTTTAGTTGGGCAGATCCTCGGATTAGGGAGCCAAGATTTGGGCAAACCTAAGATTGGCCCAAAAAATGTTTCTGGTGCCCTTCCAAATGACTGAGCTGTGGCTTTGGTTGGGCATCTGTGGAGGCCCAGCCAAGTAGCTGCATTTCCTACAGTAGGCTTGAGCATTTTGTACGGGGACAGAGTCGAATAATCTGGACACGCTCGTTTTGTTCCTCTCCCAACAGTGCGAGCGGCTGCAGTCGGACCTCATCATTTGCCTGCTGTACAGCGCGGTCCTCTTTGGCGTCCATGCCAGCACCGTCTTCACCGTGCTGCAGCCGGGCCTGAGCTACGTGCTGTTCGGCATCGCCGGCGTGCTGGGCTTCCTGCTCCATTACCTCCTGCCCCAGCTGCGCAAGGAGATGCCCTGGCTGTGCGTCTCCCACCCGCTCTTCAAGAGCAAGGAGTACTTGCTGTTTGAAGTCAGGGGTAAGACTGTGAAGACCTGCGAAGAATGAAAGTGAACACCAGCACTGGTGCTGACAGACCAAATGAAATGCGCAATCCCTGTTGTTTGTACTTGTACGGGATCCGTCCAAATTCACCAGGATTTCCTTTGGGATTGGGGGATTGATGAAGAGGGAGATCTGCCACCATTATGTTACATTTGGCTTGATGCCTTTGAAAGTTTTAGTAGAATATGGGCTATTCTATAAATTTGGGGTCCAAAGTATGACATTTTTCTGTCCCTGTTACCTCTGACATTAAATACCATCTGACATGTTTGACAAGGGATGTATTATTGAAAGTGATTTTGAACTATTGTTATTTGTTTGGCAGATAATTTGCAGTACTTCTTTAGTCTTGGAAATTAAATAATGAGTTCTAGACATTAAAAAATCATATGCCAGACGTAACAGGGACGGGGAAAAAATTGGACCCCGTATTTATAGAGTGACCCATATGCCATTGAGTTGCTGCGCAGTGAATTTGGATGATTGAAGAACGTTCCAGCCAAAAACCCCCAAGGAGATGAAATTATTTCTTCCATATATGACAAATCTACTAAATTTATTGGGTACCTTTTGTAAATTTGATCTTAAAATTGACCAGAACATGGCACAACGTGAGACAGCAACATGGTGGATGAACACAATTGTGGTGGTTTTGAAGTAATGAAGTCTGAGATGAAGCATTTCCCAAGATGCTGTCATGAACGGCAGTTTGTCCTGATTGAATTGTTGTTGTGTATACGACAGATGCAGCTAAGGTCATGTGGTTTGAGAGGATGTTCGTCATCCTGTGCTTTCTGGAGCGCAACATTGTCTACCCCTTGGTGTTCCTCTGTGGCCTGACGACCACGGGACACAAGATCACCAATTCTTTTTCTCCAATGTGAGTTCAACCCTTCCTTGTGCTGGATTTTTTTCTGTAATTAATTGCCATTTTGTCGGAACACATGCTTGGAATACCTGGCTCTCCATCCAAGCGACAAGATCAGGTCAGCTTGCATTGATGTTGCCACGTGTCCTGGTTTGGATCTGTTGACAAAGCCCCAAAAGCACGACTCAAGTTACGTACGTACCAATGAACCAAGAAGACTGACCATGGCATTCCCATGTCTGGTGCCCACCACCTGCATTCACAGATCTCTAATTACCTTTCATTGAGTCTATGGCCATTTTCCAATACTCAACTTCAGCTCCGTCTCAGGCTTCAAGTGTTTTTAACTAGCTGACTTTGAAGCTGTAAGAGCAGTAATCAGTCAAATAGTGCCACAGGACATCAAATAAGATGCAAGAAAGCCCAAAATTACAGTAATCCAATTTAATTTAAACGCTTCAGGGATTGGTTTTGGGAACGAAGCCTGAGACAGAGCCCAAGTCGAGTATTGGAAAAGGGCCCACATTTCATTTTGATCTGTCCTTTCTTTATGCCCCCCGATCCCAGTGCCGGTGCCTTCATCTTGACAGTCTGCGGACTCAAACTCCTCCGTAGTGCCTTCTCAAACACAGCCATCCAGTACCCCATCCTGGTTCTCACCGTTCTCTTCTTTAAGTTTGACTTCAACCAGGAAACCATCCTGTTGGACCTGTTTGTTGTCAATTACTTCTTGATGTCTATCTTTGTTCACAAGGTAAGAACTGAAGGGTAAACATGAAATCAGGCAGTCAGCAGGTTGGGAAATAAGTGCAGAGCTACTGAAAATGGCCAGTCTAATCCACTTGAAAATGTAATGGAATAATTTTTGCCCTCTGCTCAAATTAGGCAGTAAAAGTAAATATGTTGTGAGTTCCATCAAGCAAGTATTCCAGATCTGTTTTCATAATAACAAATTTTGGGGTTTACTTTAATGTATCTTAAATTTTGGACAGTTTGTAAATTCAGCTACAAAAGGTCCACTATATTGAGATTATATGCCGCCGCCTATGAATCAGACCTACGCATGAAATCTGGACATGATGTATAACAGTTGCAAGATCTTGAAAGTTTAGTTTTTGACTTGCATCTTCCAGTACATGGAATTTGATATGTCACTATTGCAAGCCCCATTACTTCTCTGCATCTTTTTCTCTCTTCCAGCTACATGAGTGGATTCTCAAGATGAAGTTTGTCTACACTTACATTGCTCCATGGCAGATCACCTGGGGGTCGGCATTCCATGCATTTGCTCAGCCGTTCAGTGCGCCTCGTATCCTTTTTACAACAACAGAGTCGTCTGACTTCAGAGCACACTTAAACTAGTTCAATGCCAAAAGGTTCTGTACCATTCAAACTGTGTCCAGGCTTCAGGTTAATGTTGGCTCTTGTATTCAGAATTTGCCAGTTGTGAGGAAAGGCATAACGCATGCCTCATTTAGGAGATTTTCGGACATACATCGTTATGCAGATTAAAAAAAAAAAACCTGATTGCTGAGCGGCTTAAAAGATCTCATCTTTTGTTCGCATGATTGAATTCTCTTTGGCATAATATTTTGCCCTTCATATGTTGCCTTAACTGCGGTGTGCCACCAGATTCTGCCATGCTGTTCCTACAGACCCTCATCTCAGCGTTCTTCTCCACACCTCTCAACCCCATCTTGGGCAGTGCCATATTCATCACCTCGTATCTACGCCCCATGAAGTTCTGGGAGAGAGACTACAAGTGAGTACCTATTCTGCTTCACAGTGCCCCCCCTCCCACAGAGCTCACTTTCCGGAGGTCGTCAGCCACAAGTCTGGAACCCAGGCAGAGGCGCTAACATAATACACAATAGTTGATACGAGATGGAACTTAAATTCTGTTGTCATTCACAGAGCAGTTATGGAGAACTGGAGTGTAATGTCGGTCGCCACGATGTGGGCTCTACATGTTGACCAGTTAGCTCAGATTTACATTTCCAAAGCACAGGGATACAGATGAATGATTTTTATGTTGAACATTACCCTGACGGCAAAATAGAGATGATTTGTCTTGGCTTTACTAGACAACAGAGGGCTTTTAAGAAAGACACTGTTCCTTACATTTTACTTTTTAAATTGTGCACCCAAAATTGTTTCTTGAAAACATTTCTTAGAACTGGTCGGTCTTTGGCTGATTGCCGTGTATTTCCACAATATAGAGGGATCCCAATATGACGCTCTTAGCGTCGATCTGCGCACTTCCGCGTTTAATAACGAGGCTGTATGTGTCAGCTTCATTTCTTAATACGATCAGACGATTGAAAGTAAGGAGTCAAGATACAAAATACATAAAGGTATGTTAAATTCAGACTTCTCAGGCTGCAAATTTTTGTGGAAGAGTCTTTCAGAATTACTGGAAACGTGAAATCAAAAGAAAAAAAACGTGAACTAACGTACCTGCGATGGCCGTGTATCTTGTGCAGTGGGCGTGGTTTAAACTGAAGTGGTGTCACACTTACGAACTGGGTACTGCATATACTGTGTCGACTCCGCGGGCGCACGCGACAAAGTTCAACACAGAGAACCTCAGTTTCGATGCGGATATGCGCAGACGGCGCTAATGTGAAATCCATCTATTGAAATCACCAAAGAAAAGGAAATGTGGGACAGAAAAATATCCAAAGTTCCAGTAGTTTTTGGTGCATTTATCCATGCAACATTGAGGTTTTCTTGTTGGAATACTAAGACAGTTCTGCTATTAATGAATGAATGTGGCAATCTGTATGAACATAACCACCCAAGGTTTCCGATATACCATACAGTGTAACAAAACAAGATTGAAATGAAGGCTAACTGAAATACACAGGTGCCTTTTCAAGAGTTGCAATTTTAAAAAAAACCTGCCATTCGTTACTTATCCTTGCAGCACTAAGCGAGTGGACCACTCCAACACCCGCCTGGCCACCCAGCTGGACAAGAACCCCGGCTCGGACGACAATAACCTCAACTCTATCTTCTACGAACACCTGACGCGCTCGCTACAGGCCACGCTGTGCGGGGACCTGGTGCTGGGCCGCTGGGGTACGGTCATCGCCGGTGACTGCTTCATCTTGGCCTCGGACTACCTCAACGCGCTGGTACACGTTGTTGAGGTGGGCAACGGGCTGGTCACCTTCCAACTGAGGGGGCTGGAGTTTAGAGGTCAGTACACTTTTTATACATTGGAAACAGCTGTGACTGCGAGAGGCATTCCACAGATAAGAATGTAGATAGGGACTTGTACATGTACCAACCCCAACTGAAGCAAGCATCATCAAGAAAAATGACAAATACTAGCACCCAGTGCTGTAACTTCAACTTTGCAAACACCCGCTTCTACAATTCTTGATCATTTAGTTTCAACCTCAGTTGAATTTCACCAGTGAGGCATATTTCTGAGAACAGACTAAGTATACTCTCTGAGATGAGATGGACACTCACAATGAGCCAGTCTGTTGGTATCTCAACAGTGCATGCTCACAGTTAAGTGTGTCGCTCATTCAAGAACTTCAATAAGTGGGAAGTAAGTAAACTAGATGGATACATCTCTTTTTGAGTATGTGGAGTTCTGAAAAGAACCGGTGGTGCTCAACGTTTCAGAGAGTATGCTCTGTCTGTCCCCAGGAGACTGCCTACTACATGGGAAGTAGTCAGCCCCATCGGGAAGGCTGTGCACCCGCTCACAGACTCACTGAACATGAGTGAGTAGGCGTGGCATCAGGTGCTTTATACTGGAAAAACCTTGCCTTCATGAAATACATTGGCTCATTGGTTCTTTCAGAATCAAGATAGTTTTTTTCTCAAAAAAAGGTGATCACTGTTTTTTTGCTGTCATCCTCAAAATTAACTCACCTCGTTCATTCCACCATGCAAGTTGCAGAATTACTGTAAACAAGTACTGTAGGCTTGTTTGTGTGTATTGTGAGGTTTTTTCTTCCAGTGTGGCTTTGTGCTGCTCAGAATCCAGAGGCCAAAACTCCTTGTTATATATATTGTTTTGGGACCGTATTTAGCTGTTTTTTGGTTAGCATGACTATCAGATAGAGTTTGAGCTGGTAATCTTTGTTTATTAAGCAAAGTTTTTTCCCGCTTAAGCTAATTTTGTGCTTAAGCAGCTCTATGAAATTGGCCCCTGCAGGCTGTCGGTGTTCAAATGTAAACTGGCATCGTTTTGTTATACAGGAACCTACTGCCAACAGAGAGAAGTGGAGGCCATTACTGAAGGAGTGGACGATGACGACGGTATGTACAGTCCTAGGTTACGGCATGGACCCGATAACCATGGAGCTGTGGAGTTGGAAATGCTGCCTATGCAGATTTCTGTGCCAAGGCAGCGTCTAGGAACTTTGAATAATTCTGAGTACTCTTTTGTGGAGCATCGTGAGTTTCCTAAAAATGTGAAAGAAAAACTTCCTCATGGAAACAGGCAATTCCTGTGTAAAGCATGCAAGTGTTAATAGCCACTGTTCTCATTTGTAAATGTGTTCCCAGCAGGATCAGCAGGTGTTCTTGATTAGAATAAGCAGTGTTCTCCTTGGGGTGTTCTGTGGTCAGTTCCAACTTTCAAGGCGCACCTTGCATAAAACCCAGCGGAGGATCATTTGCAAGTCATCATTAATTTTTTCATTGCGTGGCATTCTGGCCTGCAACTTGTGCTGCAGGAGTTTTGTGCTTGCGAGTTTTGTTTTGTAAACCGCAGATCTTTGAAATGGGCTACTGTCTGCTTGTCGCCAAATAGACTGAGAGTTAAGTTGTTCTGCTGTCAGAGTCAGGAAAACTAACAAAGCTCTGCATTGAGCTGCTGCGCATAAAACTTTTCCTTGGGACAGGGCCAAGGAAGTTGGCATTACTGGGTTCTTCTCCTTTCTCTCCCAGGTTGTTGTTGCTGCTACCCGGGCCACTTACCCCACTTCTTGTCAGCCAACGCAGCCTTCAGCCAGCGCTGGCTGGCGTGGGAGGTCATCGCCAGCAAGTATGTCCTCCAGGGCTACAGCATCTCGGACAACTGCGCCGCCTCCATGCTCCAAGTCTTCGATCTGCGCAAGATCCTCATCACCTACTACGTCAAGGTAGGGGTGAATTGGTCCCGTTGGATAAAGTCTCGGGATGTCCTGGCTGCTGGTCTATCACGGCTGTCTCCCAGGAGGCAGCGATACCTATTTGTACCTGCTTGGACTGAACTGTGCTTTGAGGGAAGAGAGTGTTGGGAGGGGGGACTTGAGGAAGGCCAATTTCTATCCTTGTGTTGACTTGTATCTAGGTACTGTGACACATAATTATGTTTAAATACATTTCTATCCATCAACATCAAAAATAAAGATTAAACCTGATCCATATCCTCCTCTTGGCCAACATTTTCAGGCCATCTGTTAAGGTGTAGTATTTTCCTGTTTCATTGAATGTTGTTTTTAGAGAAAGATTTAGACCCAGTAAACTCAGATATTTTTACACAAAGAAAGAAAAGTCATGTATAATTGCATGTATAAAGCTAAGAACTTTTCAGAGTAAGTCAAAACGATGCGGGGCTGTGCTAGTAGTTTATTCACAGTAGCAGACCATTACCAATTAATCATTCACGGATTGGATTATTTTTGTGTGTAAAATTTGAATTGTCGAAAGAGGCAGTCAGACACTACAAATATTGATTCAAGTCATTTGAGCAATATTTGTATAAATTCACAACTTCATATTTTTCACTTATCTTGGGTGCAGTGAGTTGAAGCACGCTTGATTTCTAAACCTGTCAGCCTTCCTTGTGTATACTGATAGCCAGATCATTTTTACACATCCTCCGGCACGAAGTGGTTAAGGCGTCGAGTTTGTAGGACGTGACCCCCCCCATAACCGGTATGTAACATTTCCCCCCTTGGCAGAGCATCATCTATTACGTGGTCCGCTGCCCTAAGCTGGAGCAGTGGGTGACCAGCGAGATCATCCAGGAGGCCTTGAAGGATTGCAGCGAGGAGCGGTACACGGACTGTGACCCAACCTTCACCCCCAAGATTGACGAGGACTACGACATGCGACAGAGCGGGATATCCAGGGAGAGCTTCTGCAACTGTTACCTGGGATGGATACAGCACTGCGCCAGCAGAAGAGAAGAGGTAGAAGCTGCTCCAGTGTTGGAAGTTTTCCTTCATTTGTTGCATTTCTTGTGGAACCCTTTCCAAATCCTTCCTGCTGTTCAGAAAGGCAGGTCTTGAAGTCCCTTGGAGAGAAATAATAGGTGGGCTGTGCACTGCTTCAGCTGCCAGGTGGAATTTGAGGGGATCAATCAACAGCACGCGACCAAGTTCAATCAGCAGCCATTTGTCAACCGCTCATGGGATTTTGCCCTGTACCCAGGGTATATTTCATGTATAGGTTTCCAGGCAAAATGGACCAGTGGTTAGCAAGTGGTCGCTGGTTGAGCTTTGCTATGGAAAGCCTAATGGAAGTCTTAGTTTATTTCTGTCGAATCCCAACAGGCAGTTGAAATATTGATGATGTGAGGATACAGCTACACTGAGACAATAATCAGCTGTCGCATGTTTAAAAAAGAACTATAAGAGTGAAAATTCCAATCAATGCGTAATTTAATTCAGTATCGGCATCAACAAAGTACTCGCAAATGAGGTAGAGTCAGGTGCTGACTTGCCAAGTAAGTGGTGCCTAAACTCAGCATGTGTTTTTCTGCAGATCACTCTCACCCGGCCCCTTGGCATGATTAAGACAACGTTCTTGTAATGTGTTTGAGGCTGTGAACACTAATCCCAGTAGTACAACAATGAGCCTGTTTTGTAAACAGGAAATAGTTTTGCTTTGTTTATATGAGTTACCATTGACTTTGTCATTCAAGTTAATGCCAGTGATTTGTATGTGTTATCCTTCTCAACTGTTGAACAACCTTTGACCGTAATTTTCGTCCTGTTGTTTTTTTTTCTTTACACGAATAAAGGAGCTGGATAGTAGCAAGGCATCTTGGCTAGTAACCCTCTGTTTTGCACTGTGTCTACTAGGCAGACGGGCACTGGGCACTGCCTCGCACCACTTGTCCACAAGGTAGGGCCTCACTGACTTTAATTCCAGTGGTGAGACTAGCTTTGCAAGTCAAATTTAGCAGTCACTGATTTTTCATGCAGAGTGCATTCAAAAAAAGGGGATTCAGAAAGCTCCCGAGTCTCACAGGTGTATATCACAGTATTAACCACTTCCTGCCGAGGACTCCGGGATCAGAGACGTATGGTTTATATGGGTGGACAGGGTCTCTGAACTCGGACAAAGGAAACAGGGCCCTGTAACAAAAGACCGTACTCCGAACAAAAGACTAGGCTGCTGGGCATTACCGACATTTTTCATTCTCAAAAGTGGTGATAATCCAGCCTTGCTTCGAAACCGTATACCAGGGTTTTGGCATTGAGAGCGAGCGAATTACCACCGGGGACAAATCGCTCCACCACCGCAGCGATGAGCCACACAGCACCGCTGCACGCTAATCTGGCCCCTATTGAAAAGAGGTCAGCAGTGCACTGAGTCAGGTTCGTGAACAAAAGACAGTTATATAACACCGCCCAATCTGGGCTCTGTTTACAAGGCTGCTGGCCTGGCTGAAATACTCGGGTGTCATTGAAGGTCACCTGTCAACTTAGAGTAGTGCCTAAAGATTACTTAGTGCGGCTATAAACGACCGTTAAATGAAATGATGAATTTTGAAGGATTTTGAAAACGGAAAAACGATCGTCATGCCGGCCCAGCATCATCAACATTGAAAAATACCCCGGCATGAAGTGGTTAACCAGCCAGCCCTGGCGTCAAATATTTTCATGTATGGTCCATCAGCTTCACCCAAGTGTTGTCCATTGGCAGGCATTTATTGCGGGTTATTCAAACTTTGGTTACGCTTAGTCCGTAAGTGACCTTGATTGTCTCTGAATATTTGTCGTCTTGTTCTCTGTTTTCTTAGCATTCTAGAGTCCTTCCTGTATGGCTTACACGCTCTCTTCAAGGGAGACTTCCGCATCACGTCAGCACGGGATGAATGGGTCTTCACTGATGTGGAGATGCTGAGACGTTGCGTAGCTCCAGGGGTTAGAATGTCCCTCAAATTGCACCAGGTAAAGACGACTTTAGCCCTAACCCTTCTCAATCCTCCAAAATCCTTCGGGTGGTTTTGGAGGATTGGGGGTGAATGGCAAAAGTGCATGGCTGATTGCAAAGGATGCCATGCGTGAAGGTCATGGGTTAGACCTTGTGTTGTTCTTGCTCAGTCATGCATAAATTCAGCCTGATATTTCTTTTCAATCAATCGCACTGCTTGAGAATGCCATTCACTCTGCCTCAACAAAATGACCGGAATTGCCCGAGGATTTTGAAGGATTGAGGCAGTAGGCACACCTCCAAGTAACATTTTCAAGAAATTTTGGAGGATTGAGGGAGAAACCAATGTTTTCACCCCTGAAATTGGAGGATATTGGAGGATTGAGGAGGGTCCCTAGCAAAAAGGGCCTAGAGGGTTAGGGCTAACAGTGATGTTGCATTATCATAGATGACTCCGGAAAAGTCCTTTGGTGACTGTTAACCCCAGCCCTTTTAGATTTACTCGAAGTTTTTTTTTGGAAGATTCAGCCTTGTCATTATCACTTTACATGGAGCTTGATACCCCTTGATATAAAGAGCGTGGCGCTGGGTTCCTTATCAGTAGCAGATGCGGGAGGACTCACAAAAGTTTTCCTTGCCGAAATGGCTAGGGAGTTAGGGAAAGGGAAGCCTTTTTCACAAAAGAAATCTCAGGGCATTGCAGGTGTCTTCAGAAAGGATTTGCTACGAGAAGTTGCAAAAATCCAGCCGTTACTGTTGCTCACGTAGACTCATCTCCCACCGTTTCAGTAAACAGGCTTTATGTAGTGGGGAAAATAATTGCATTCAGACATGTTTCAAACAGGCAGTCACCGCTAACTTGCACAGTATCGAACAAGTGGTTTTGCCCACTCTCGCTCCTGCATCTAGGAAAATGGAAGTCCTAATTTTAATACCAGTAAGGTAAAAATCGATTGTAACAGCAGGATCAAAAGAGATTTATGGCAGAGACCCCTCACCTGCTCAATGAACAACCAGACACCCTTGGTCAAGGCTATTGGAAATTGGTTATTTTTACCAAAGCTGGTACATTGCTTCAGCCACGTCAGGCAATCCAAGTTCGTCTCATACACAGAAAGGTTGATAGGTTTGTATACAATCTCTGTCGTCTATTCCAGGATCATTTTACGTCGCCAGAGGAGTACGAGGACCACCAGCCATTGTACGATGCCATCACTGCCCACGAACAAAACCTGGTGATCGCTCACGAGGGGGACCCGCAGTGGAGGAATGCTGTCCTGTCCAACACACCCTCACTCTTGGCTCTCAGGTAGGGTGGGGCTGAGAACAGTGTGTGGCCTGGGTTGTAGTTGGAGGGGACAAGCACTTGTGACCCAGCCTAGCAAAAGTAAAAGGGGGTAGAAGTCGCCACAATTACTTTTGAGTCTCAAAAAGTGTTTTCCACAGTGTAAAACAATGCCAAACTTCAACAGTTTTCACTTTGATAGTGTCCATTTTCTTCAAAACATCAAACTGGGTGGTAAAGTGCTCTTTGTAACACAAACTGAAACAAAAGTACTGAAAAAATTAGCACTGCAACTCATTTTGTGGGATCTAGTCACAAGTGATACCGGATTAAGTTAATTAGTTTGAATGGAGTAAGACTTTTATTGGTATATGATTGCAGTGGCTGAGATTGATACAGGTGCATCAGTCTTTCTCAGAAGATCAAAAATGATAATGAATCAACAGCAACTTAGGTCTCTTCTTTTACATAGGTCGTCTTTTCACTTTACAGGGAAATTGGCTAAGAGAGCACCCAAGAAAGTGGAGATTTATCATCTGTCTCCCAACTCATCAAATAAACAAAACTCTTTAGTAGTGGAAACTGCATTTTTTGGCATCACATCTGTACATGGTTTATAAATTCCTAGACTCATTGTCAAGTGGAATCTCAGATATAACTGAAGGAGCAGTGTAGCTAGGATTTTGTTTATCGGCCTCATGAAGTGCTGATACATGTATGAACGTTTTCATTTGTTACATATGTACGAGTAAATGTCATGGTATCTGAGCTCATTTAGTGCGCCTCACAACAGTAAAATTATACTGTATATCGGTTCATTTTGT